TTTACTCCGGCAATAAGTGGACGCCCTAATTTAAGCGCGGCCCCCAGATAAGCGACCCACGTGAGAGCAGAAGTAGCAATAACTGCCGAACCCAAAAGGGGCTGCATCTAAAGATACAGTGTTTATTCGCAAAATATAAAAGTTCCACTATCATGTTAAAATATTGCGGCAGTTGAAACATTTTTGGCGCATATAAGTTACATTACCGAAAGGTCGACGGGTTTATCTTTGGAATCTCAAAACATGCTCAGTATCAAGATCTCGTGTACACTTCTTGAACATGGTTTCTAGAGCATATTTCTCCTTTCTTCCGACCATACAGTAAACGAGTGAAATATCTGTTCCAGGGCGGAATGTACGTTTTCCAGTTATTTGATCACTACTCTGGGAGCGGATCTGTACTGTTGCTGGTGGTCATCTGTGACTGTCTGGCCATGGGATGGTTGTATGGTAAGTAACAATCCATTACTGTGAGTGAAGAAGGTAAGGTGATATTAAGGGTTGCTCAATTATAAAGAAAAAAAAAAAAAAAAAAAAAAACCTAATCTCGTGTGTGGGAAATTAACGTCTCCTACCCCAACCCTGCTGGAGACGGGACCTCCATTTTATCGTCCCTATCCGAGAAGACTAGAAAGTCTAACCATTTGCAGATATTATTACAGGTTAAGAATGTATCTCGGGATGAGACCACAACATTGACCAAAAGAGGTCGAAGTTTACGACCCACTTGTAGTCCTCCGAACCTATTAGTTTCTAAATATCATTTATTGAGTTATTCTTAGAAAACACTGACGAAATATCGACATCGGTCCACTTCAACGCTTTATTGAAAACCCTTACAAAACGTACGTATGGCATGTTGTTGCTTTTCTTCTTGTGCCAAAACGTGCAGCAGTGAACATTTATTTTTCAACCTATACACAGGTCGCAATCGTTTCTATGACAACATGGAAAGCATGCTGGGATTTCAAATCAATCCATGGATCGGTTGGTGCTGGTGTTTTTTTGCGCCCAGTTTTTGTGCGGTGAGTTTAAAGTACACAGTTACTTTTTAACGTACAGATTTTCGAATAACTTGTGAACAGACAAGAATTTAGGACAAAGAGAGACAGTTTACCTGTATTTCATGCTATTGTATTATTGTCTTTAATATGATCTCACAAGTGGGCGTTAGAATGGTCAGGGGAGGCTAGTACTGTGTTTTTGGGAGCGGTTCTAAATCTTTCACTCACTCTGCCTCTCTCTACCCGTTAGTGTAATTGAATACCATCAGCCTCCCCCCCCCTACCAAAAAAAATAAATGAATAAAATGAAGAGCCGCAGTGAAGGCGGAGAGGGGAAGGGGGAAGAGGGGAGGGAAGGGGGGAAAATTAGTTTCGATCAAAATCACCCCATTCAGTCCTTTGATGGTGTTAAAACGGGAATAAAGTCCGGCAGCAGTATGCCATTTGGCTCGTTAGACGTAGCCCTCGTAGTAAGAAGATGGTAGGGCCACCCAACAAGGTGGGAATAACATAATAAGTGCAGCTAGTCCAATTTTACTCTTTAAGTTCTGTAATCAGGTATTGATTTGGGGTTGCAGTTCATCTTTATCTTTAACCTTGTTACGTACAAGCCCATGAGTTACGGTCCGTACGTTTATCCAGGCTGGGGCCAAGCTATTGGTTGGTTGTTGACGGCAACCTCGCTAACCTGTATACCGGCTGTGATGATATACAAACTGATAAAGACCACAGGAACGATCAGAGAGGTACGTGATTCAGTCATTAAGGGGTCGTAGTTAGACGTTTTTTGTAGTACCGTCTGAGAAGTAGAACATTAATTAGCACAGAAGGTGCGAACATCCTTAGAACGCCTCCCTCACTAATGTTCTTACCTCATTTTTACGGTCATTCATCTGTGATCTGTTTACCTGTACAGACGCACGGCAATATGGAAAGTTTCTGTTCTATATTATAAAAAAAAATCCATAATGTCAAAACTTCATCTGTGCATCTGTCCTGCAAAAGATCATAAGTAAGAACGTGTGTATTTAGAGACTGATCACTTGCCAATTGTCCTTCAAATGAGAGAAAATGCCACATAAGACACTATGAGTGTTATTATAGACTGTAAATAAGCCCTTGTTTATTGGTTTTCTACGAGATCAGGTTCAAGTTCATCTAGAATAAAACATCAGCCGCTGACCAGTTCGTATAGTAAACGAATAGTCTCACTGGCTACATAACAATAGGGTCACTGACATAAGTCGTTAGTCCACGTAATGAAAAGTCTATAGTGCAACACGGTGAAGTTCATGGAATGGGACAATTAATGATTGTGATAATTTTACTTTACGTGTTGAAAACATCAGTGAACATTAGGTTCTCTTTTCTACAGCGTTTGAACAAGTTGATTATACCTGACATTGAAGAGAAAAGGGAAGACGTTGAACTTGGAGATCGTGAAGGAAATCAGGCTGCTCTGTTGAAGAAAGACAACGATAAAAACGAGCAGAAAGCGTGACTGATGAATATTTCGATACACTTTATTCTTTGTTGGAATATTTGCAAAGTTAACGTCAGTTTATTCTACTGTGTGTGATATCATTTCCAGATGCTAAAACATGAACGGGTTATAATTATGTAGCATTGCATTTTAGATTTTGGACTCTAGTATTAGACTTAAGATTTTAGATTTTTACTGTAGTTTATTTCGGTATGCCCATTAGCTTATACTATATATGAGTACATCGACAATTAACCCTATTACTGTTAAGATCTCATAAGCAATTCTCCTTACTGTCTGCCATAAAATTCTTATGATGATGATTGGGAGATTTTGGTCTTCGATCAACTAATAATAAATTCTTTATTCTCATCACTTGTCTACTTGACATCAAAGCACAGCAAAGGGGCGAAGACGGGGGAAGGGGATCCCGAAGCACAGCTAGGGAGCGAAGAGGGGGGGATCCTGGAGTGATAATAGGCGGGGATAGTTTTAAAATTTTCTCTGGAGGGCATCGTTGCTAATAATGTCTAGAAGTGTAGCTGAAGGCATGTAAACCGGAATGGGCTTATTAGTTCGAGCTGGCCGGAGGTTTCAATTAATTGAATTAATTTTGACTGCTTACTCGTTAGATCGCGGGTTTCTGTCACAGCTTTGTTTTCCATTTATGAAGTAAATATTTCAGTTCACTCTCGAGAAAGATCACCCGCTGTTGCTTTACGTTTTCTGCATACTGGTGCAAGGTGTTGTTGTTGACTTGCATGACTAAAATTGCGTAACGCTTGACTATCGCACTTAGTCATAGTTGTTTTTTTTAAAGTTTCTTTTTTATCTCTCAGGTTCCAAAATGCGAAGTTTTGAATCGTGTATCAGATACCTGCACAATAACAAGCAAATTGAAAGATGACAAAGTTACAGTGGGAAAGCTGCAGATGCCGGCTATTCACGAAGTGGTATTTTACATGACAATCCTAATCGAGATAAACAAACAATATACAGCAAGCGAAAAGTGCTTTTGGATACAATATAGGACAACAGTGACCTATAAGTCAAAGTCCATACTTGTGACACGGCCAGTTGAACTTAATCATGTGAGGATCAAAGGTCCGCTAGTGGAAAACAATAACTATACACATGTCAAATAATTACTTAAAATAAGTGTAAACCTTTTCTCAAAGTTTCAAAGTAAAGTCCTTCAATTACTGGCATTTGTTTGATTCACTTCGATAACCTGTTCTTGGATACAGTAACTGCTTGTTCTCGGAAATTCAGAGGCTATTTCTCTGAAACTAGAACACTGTATGATTGTCGTTACTGAGATCAATCCTTCGAAAATTGTTTAACATGATTCAAACCTCTTGAAAACATCATTATCATGTTCCACACAAAAGAAAAATTGTCGAAAAGCACAACAAACGTATAAATCATGGGAATCTTGTTTCTCGAGGGAAAAGCAAGCTAAGAAAAGTTATTAGCTATCATAGGCACTTGAAAGGATCCACCATTTAAAAAAGAATTAAGTAAACAACGAGTTAAAATTAATTTCCCATTCATAACAGTAGATCCAAATAAATTTAGAAAAGCGCGTCGCACGTACTCTCGTGGTCATTGGTCATTCAAATCTTTGAATATGGAAATAATATGGAAATGTACTGCGGCTGTACTCAATGTGAATGAGTAGTTTTTCATCGGCGGACAGTTGAGCTAAACTACTAACGTTTATCAATGGAAAACGATGTCAAAAAGCGGGAAACTTGGAGCAAGACGATCGATTTTGTTCTCGCGCTCGTAGGGTTCTCTGTTGGACTTGGGAACATTTGGCGCTTCCCTTATCTTTGCTATAAGAATGGCGGAGGTGAGTGCAGATAGCGTGACGCCGGTGCATGTTGTTTGCTGTAGATCTAGTTGTATTATGCAAGAGGCAAACGGGTGCTTTTGATATTCTGGCAAAAGTTCTCTTATTCAAATCCGAGTATTTTCGAATAAAGCGTGAATAAATTTGTACACTTCGTGCAAAATCCTCTCTGTTAATCTTGTTTTGACATTCATCCACCACTTTAAACTGAGCAGGGGCCTTTATCCGTGCCAGTCATTCAAGTCAATGCCTCGTGTCCGATCACAAATTAACACTCGGCATGTGAACTTTATTCACTGAATTTCGTTTGAGAACTTTACGTACCAGCTAGCGTTGCGATGTGCTCAACAATTTATCTGAAACCGTTTCTTTCAGTTTGCTGAGAGCATGTAAGCAAACGATTTATCATTTTGGTAAACCTTGTTTTGACCTCCATTGAGGGGCCTTCATTCGTGGGTCAGCCTGTCAATGCTTTTGTTTTAGGAACATCCGGCTGTAATTTTTATTTGATTAACTTTATTTGATTAGTAGCCTTATGATATACTCTTGCAACGAATCTGAAAACCGTTTCCGCTCTGTCTCGCTGAGAGTAACACATTCCGTGCCAAAAAAACTCAATTCACGCGCGACTGAGAAATCTTTTAAGAATGTTTCTACCGTCTACAACATAACTAGTACTTATGCATAACAGTGACGTCTTTGTACCTTTAGTTTTGGTTTGAGAGCCAGTAGTTTGGTACATAATTCCTCCATCTCCTCTTATATACAAGCTTGAAAGCTTTCAGAGACTAAAATCGTAAATTGTTTGCATGGAAAAATTCAGATATGCAGATTTTCTACAAAACCCCAATTGGATGCAATAGCGCTGCGCGCCAGGTCTAAAAATAGATATGTCATCTTTGGACCCCACGCTGGTTTAGGACAAACACTCGGAGTCTTCACAAGGACGTGTATGCGAAACGTGTCAGAAGCAAGACTATTTTCGCTCAAAAAATGCTCTAACTTTCTAAAATGGTTGCAACTAGGCATTGCTGTTGGGTACGTGTAAAAATGACTCAAGATATCCAGAAAGATTGCCAGATTCGCTTAATCCGCCAAAAGAAATGCTTAAAAACGGTCGGAAAGCCTTCATACCGTTCCCAAAGCCGAAGCATGCATGACTTGGAACTTTGTCAACGCCGGGTAAATGCGTGTTCAAGAAAGAATTTCTTAGTTGATAATGTTAACTACAATACTTATATTTGTGCTGTACACTGAAATCCTTGACAAAATCCTTTTCAAACCGTTTGTTTGATGTGAAGTGTCAAGATGCCATTGTTCCAGTTCTTTCCGAATATATAGAGTCCTAAAGTGCTTACGTCACGTTTCCATAGCACCGGAATTCTGTGGTCTAAACAAACCAATATGGCGTCCCTAGCGTGACACATTGTCGTTGACCTCGAGCACTTCAAGAGCTATAATAGCGCATTTTATCCTCCAATAATAGAAATAAGATAAAGAGAATCAAGATAACCTTTGGCCTTACTATTGAAGAGTATAATAAGCGGACAAAAGCACCTGGTGAGCAATAATTCGAGTCAAAACGCCACGGAGACGAAGTTTGCGATGGGCCAGTGTTTTCATCCAGATTGCAATCACACATCTGAAAGCCACTGCTGCCGATTCTTTTCGTTTCCAGACCAGAAAAAACATAAAACACTCTATGATAAGTGGATATCATTTGTAAGGTGAGTATTTTTCGAAAAATATATATTTCGATGCTGTACCATCGATTAGAAATAGCTGTTTTTTTTTTT